TGCAACGCTCACCGCTAATTTGTTTGTGAATCTCATCACTATATTTTTTTGATAATAGGGAATAGGGAAATGTTTTGTTCACAAACACAATGGTCACAAACTTACTATTTGTAAACTTCAATAAAAAATTTAAATAGTCTAAAATAATTTTAAAATGAAAATTTAAACTATAAATAGTAAGTTTGTGAAATTTGTGAGCATCTTGTTTGTGATTAATTTTAACCCTCTTTCGGTCTTTTTTTAGTGAACATATGGAATTATTAATGCTAGTTTAAATGATTAGATAACTTGGATAAGTTCAATTGTTTGCTAATTGAAACTTAGAAAAAACTTGAATGAATACTACGTAATATAATTAAGAGTTTTGCTTCCAAAAAAAAGTTTTGCTAATCCACCTATTTTTACTAAATCGAAACCTATGGTTAAAAATGTATAGATTTACCCATAAAATGTAAAAAAAAATGTTAATCTGTAGACTAAATTTAAAGTTAAATAAGACATTTTTTTATAAATGAGGTAGATTTAGTCAAATAAGATGTAAATTTAGCAACATCCTATAATCAATGTGTTAGCTTTATATATAAATTAAATGTGATTTTTAACTTTTTTAACGTAGTTCTCAGATGGTTTATAAAACTTTATTGTTTTAAAATATACTTTCTCAGTCTCGCAAAATATTTTTTGTTTTGACTTTTGGAGAAGAAATTATACAAGTTTGACTAAGATGAAACGACAATAATTGAAACATGTATGCTAGGTTAGATTTAAGATAAGTAAGGTAATTTATATGTTCATTTAGCTAGGCCAAATGAAAATATTTTTTTGAGACAAACTAAGTAAGATGTGTAAGTGAAAATATTTATTGAGACGAATTATGTGATTTCGCCTTTTATCTAAAACAAGAATTGTCTACTTTGGTGATGGTGTTAGGCTTTTGAAACGAATGAAATATTATATAATTTTAAGAATATTTTATAAATAATTTAATCCTTAATTTTCTTCCAACCAAATAAAGCCACTAGAAGTTGAATTTCCCACTTTATTTCGTTGCCAAACAATAGTATATATTTGGATGGAAAGTTCTATGGATAATTCATTTAAAACTTCATTGTGTCTATTATTTTATTACAATTGGCAAGGTGTGCTTCTTAGAAATCCCTTTATTGCTGGAGTTTGTGTTGAACAATCAACTCTCCTATATAAAAAGTATCTATGTCTCAACTCTCTACCAAATTATGAGTACTTTTTTTATAGCAAATTATGAGTACTTTATTAACTTTTCTTTATTAATTAAAAAAAGGTGAAGGAAGAAGTACCCAAGAAGTTTTCATCACCAAACCCGTCATGCATACAGCTCAAATTTCAAACACAGAGTATGCCGGTGGGCGTTGCGCAGTTGTCAAAGACAAAAATGATCAAGAAGGTAAGATCCGAGTTTGATTTCTGTCAACTATGATGGGAGGTAACTATGCTAAGCATATGATTTCTGCAAGTACCAGGTGCAGAATTTACTTATTGCCACTTTTATATGATCAAAGTATAATTTACCGCATCTCCATGACCGTCTGACCAGGTCTGAAGGGACTCAGGGATGGAGCTCATCCTTTGTTTCAAATACGAAGTAAGTTCATACTCACCTCTTTCTTCTTTTCTTTTCTTTTGTATAATAGAAATACTCGACCTCTTTGTTTCAATGAGGATTTTTTATTTTGACCTATTAAAAAAAGTGTTAATTAAGAAGATAATAAAAAGAGGTCTATTGGTAATAGATGATTGGTTAAAAAATTAGAAGAGAAAAATATTTTTCAACCACATAGTTTATTCTTAAAAAAGGGGTAATTTTGGAAGACCAAAAAAACTAAAGAAGTAAACAACAACAACAACAACCTAGTTGAATCCCACTACAGTAGGGTCTGGCAGTGGCGGAGCCAGGGGAGAATTCATGGGGGGGCAAAAATTCATTTAATAAATAAACAAAATACATAATAGTATAATCGTAAGTATCTTAATTGGCAAAGTGCAAGTAAACATACCTTCTATTTGTGCAAAAGAGTAATAGTTGCTTGAGGCCGTAGGAATTTTTTTCGAAATGCCAACTTTTGAAAGCGCTGCATAATAATTTCATCATCAATGCTTCTAAAAATTTCTTTCTCAAAGTACCATAACAGACATGATAAAAGCTCATCTCTCAAACGGTTGCGTAAATCAGTCTTGACAATATTCATCGCAGAAAGACCTTTTGTTCTTGCCCGTCATACTTTGTGGAAATTTATCCATCGATGGCTTACAAGGACCTTTTGCTAAGTATCTTCTCCTTATTACATCTCTAATTTCCAATGAAAAATTATTAATTGGTTTTCGTAATCCCGGATCAGCAATAATATCATCATTATAAACCACACTTTCTTTCTCTATAGAAGAAGAAGCTTCTTTTTCATTGTGTCTATCACTTATAAATTCTAAATTATTCTTTTGTCTAATAACAAATTTATCCATCTCATGTCTTAATATTTCCAGATTCAATAATAAAGTAACAAAATAAAATTTCAATAACCTTAAAACAACAATTTCATATTTCTTAATCTCTAGAACTTGAAATTACATTAAAATTTATCAAATATTTAAATATCAACCAACACACTAGAACCACAGAACAAAATAAATATTCAAAATTCAAAACATAATTTAGCAATATTTAAAAATTTCAAATATTAATAAACAAATCTCAAAATTAGATAATTAAAATTTACATATATATACCTAGACAATCAGAGATTGAGAAAATATCGAAAGTTTTGGATGAAGAAGCACATCCTATTGCGCCACTGCGTTTGGATTTCTTCTCCGGTGATTGCTAAATGCCTTCGCCGTTTCTGCTATGTCTAATCCGCCACTCCCTTTTTTTGGACAATTGGGCATTTTCGCATTTGGGCTGTTGGGCCGAGTATTTGGCAGGGTCAAATAATTTTTTTTAAACCCATCAGCAAAACGACGTCGTTTTCCTTTTTTTTTCCATCGACTGATTCTTCTTCTCTTCGATCGGCTATGGAATGTTGGAGCATCCAAGCATGACCTGCGTCGCTGCGACAATCGGGCGGGCAAATCCGGCCTCCCATTTCGCTGGATTTTCGATCGGTTACCCTATTCCTATTTCGCCGGATTTTCGCCGGGGGGCACTTGCCCAGGCGTGCCCCCCCTCCCTCCGCCCCTGGGGTCTGGGGAGGGTGTGTGTACGCAGACCTTGCCCCTACTCGGAAGTAGGGAGACTGTTTCCAAGAGACCCCCGGCTCAACCTGCACAAAAATATGGTAGGGAACACAATATAACAGGGTAACAGGATATAACAAGATATAACATGATAAAGCACCAAGTACAATGAAATGAAAGTCCAGCAAGCAAAAGTAGAAGATTCCAATCAAACACAACACACTATAAAAATCTCTGCAGCACCGCGCTCCTAACCAGCTACTTTAATCCTAGTCCGCCAAAGGTTCCTAAAAGAAGTACGGAGTAGAAAAAAGAAAATTGTTGGGACGGAAATTCACGGAATCTACAATCATTGATTTCAAATAATGGAAAGTCTCTTTCCAAAAAAGCAAGTCAAGTCTTCTTTGATTTTTATAAGAGTATTTAGGCTATCTTCTTTTGCACACTTGAATTTTGGAGTTTGATATTGGAAAAAATTGAAAGGAGTTGAAATTTTTTTTTATAGAAATGTTAGAAGAATTTAAATATTAAAAAATCACTCAATTAGATGATCATTGAAATAAATATGTAAGAAAACTTTATTTTTGAATAAAAAAGAAATTTGTCATTATCCGTGTTTGAGATGATATATTATAAATTTGGAAATATAAAATTAATATATATATGGATAAAGCTATTTGTACCCCAAGGGTTTGTACCCCATTTGTATATCGTAGTTGTGCACCCAACATTTTGTATTGGTGTAACGCTAATTTTTGTTGACGCACCAATACTTTATATCAGTGTGAATCATCAAAATGTTGATGTATACCTTTGGTGTAATTTTTGGTTTTGTGTCAAAAGAATACGCTAATCTGTAACGCTATTCCCAAACATGTCCGTCATGTTTTTTATAAAGCTATGTCATGTTTGGCAATTAAAACAGTTATCTAACTTTGACCAAATGAGTTTATTTGACTGATTATTATTTTAAGCCATTCTATTTAAAGAAGTCACATGTTCGTTTTTCATCTTATACGGAGTATCTTTTGACCGTGGTGTGGTGTAGCCAAAATTTGAGGCAGGACAAGGGCGAGATTAGTATGAAGTTTGAGGGCAGCGTTTTCCATATTTTTCAAAAATTTAAATATACTTGTTTCGTGCTAAAAATATTTTATACATTATGCAAAAGAGATCAGAATTTCAAATCTTTTTAATGTATTTTATTTAAATATTAGCATAGAAATTAAAAATAAAATTTATACATTTAAAAACAATCCAAAAGTTCTACAAAATGAGAGGTGATAAAAAAAATATTTTATTTTATCAAATAATCAATCAAAAAACACAAATAAACAAAAAAAAATTAAACTTTTGACACTTTAAAAGAAAACAATTAACGCAAAAATAACAATTTTTTTTGAACTTTTGACATTTTTAAAAGAAAAACAATTAACGCAAAAATATGCAACAAATACTACTACATTCATTTTTAATACATCAAATTATCAAAAGCTAAAATGATTATAATGGACATAACATCTACCTTCATTTAAAAAAAGTGTAGCAATAAAGTTTTGATTTTAGTTAGACAAGAATGAAGTATCAAATATTTCCTCAGTCAGTTCAGATTGCAGAGCTATGATGTAAACAGATTTTTTTGCAGAGCTAACCAAACATCATATTATTAATGCATCAATTAGAACATAAGAGATGATATTTGGTAGACAGATCAGAACCCCAACCAGACCTTCTCATCACACTCTACGTTATATCTAGCAAGATGACGAGCTACGAATTTATCCTCCCGTTTAACAAAAGACCAACTCACAGTGTTAAAAACATCACTCAAACTCAAAATATCCTCAATAATCAGACTAAAAACACAATAGTCAAATGTAAGGGAAGAAAGCGCGCCTCAAAAGCAGTGAGAGAATCAACCTCAAAGACCAAGTTAGTAAAGTTGAGTCGTTTAGCTAGAAGTACTACGTACCTTACAGCTATTACTTCAGCTACCTTTGGAGACCAATTTGCCTTCCATTCCTTTTTTCCAACCGCAACCACCGCGCCATGAGCATCCCGAACTACTCGTATATTGTACGACCAACTAATTTAGCAATTGCAATAAATAAATTAGTTCGACAATTAAAAAACAATAATACTAGGGGTACACCAAATGGTGTATCCCATTTGTATACCAAGGCCTTTACAGACACTCAATGTCTATACATACATTAAGCGCATATGTGTGTCTGTAAAGGCTTTGGTGTACAAATGGGGTACACTATTTGGTGTACCCTAGCATTGTCCTTTAAAAAAAGGGTTTAAAGATTCACTAACACAGGTTGTGTTTCAGAGTTTTGTTTACATTGTTATATATGTAAGAAAACAATTTCTCACTAAAATATGAATAATAATTCTCGAGTAATATGGAGTTTAGGAAATAAATATTTGATTGAATTTCTATAGAGGAGAACAATAATACATAAACAAAACGAACCCTAGGCTCCGATACCATAAAAGAATTGTAACAATGTTTGTGAGAAATTCTCTAGGAGCTATAAATATAGTTGTACAAGGAGAAAGGAAAGCCTAGGCATACAAGGAAACCAAGATGGCCCTAGGAGTATTCAAATCATGAAAGACAAGAAGTCAGAAAGAATTCATCATCTTGGGTCGCTAGGGTACCCCAAATCTTAAGATGTCCCTAACAAAACAACATAACTGATAGTTACCTTTTAGAAGATTCTTGAATTTCTAATGTCACAAAACTTCACTTGGCATTTCTCTTTTCCTTAGAGGAATTCATTGTGATGAGTAGTTGTTAGTTGATGAATAATGACAATACAGTTGTGATCAAGGCTGGTTCCCAACTTCCAATATCCATCAAATGACACAAAATTGCCTCAACAAATTTTTGTCCCCAAACCCAAAGGGATCCTTAGTTTGCAGCTGATTCTCGTGGGTCCCACCGCCGCGCTCTATATTCCACGTCATCATCAAACTTTGTGTTTCCTCAAGACATTCATCTCTCTCTTTCTCTGCTACCAGTAGTCGCTGCAAGAACAAACACCATCCCGAAAATGGTGGTAGCGGATTGGATCTCTGATAACAACGGTTCGGCGCTCTAACTTAGTCAAGAGCTTTGCAAATAAATGGCAGTCTCCACAAATCCTGAGATTCTTTCTGACCCTGATGGTCTTTTCTTTCGGCAAGCTCATTAAGCCATACGCAATTGCAAGCTTTTCGCTGTGACAGAGAAGCGAGTCCTCCATCTGTTCACCTTCAAGGTCTTGCAAGACAAAGTTGGTATCAGGAACATACCCCACTTCTCTCAATCTTGAAATGATCTTATTAAGCTCTTTCTCAATTTCGTTTATCTGTGGGTGCGACTTATCTCCCAAAATGAAGGCATGAATCTGCTTGTTTACCTCAATCCAACTACACCCTGGTTCTTTCTTTACTCCTTTGCTTCTCATGGCCCTTCTCACATTCGAAGCCTCTTCCCATTTTTGGGTTCGCGCATAAATATTGGAAAGCAATATGTAGGTCCCGGCATCAGAAGGGTCTATATTGATGATTTGTTTCACGGCGTACTCGGCCAAATCCATGTTTCGGTGTAGCCTGCAGGCACCAAGCAATGTTCTCCATGTCACAGTGTCAGGCTCGCATTCCATTTCATGAATTAATTTCACTGCTTCGTCTAGCCTGCCGGCTCTTCCCAGAAGATCAACCATGCAACCGTAGTGCTCTGTTCCTGGATCAATTCCAAAAAGCTTCTTCATTGACCTGAAGTAATACTGCCCATCTTCTACCATTCCTGCATGGCTGCAAGCAAATAGAACTCCAAGGACAGTGATGCGGTTCGGTTTCACCCTTCCATCGCTCTTCATTTCCTCAAATAGATCTAATGCTTCTTTGCTAAAACCATTCTGGGCCAAGCCCATAATCATTGTGCTCCATGAGATGACATCCCTCTCTGCCATCTGATTAAAAGTGCGGTTAGCATCGTCCACGCTGCCACACTTGCAATACATGTCAAGAAGTGCATTGTGAAGAATGAGGTCTGGGTGGAACTTGAGAACTTGAACATGGAATTGCCTGCCCACCTCTAAAAGTGCCAAACTGGTACATGCTCTTAGGCTACTGGTTAGGGTTGACTGGTCAGCCGGAAAACCTGCTCGCTTCATTCTTATGTAGAGAGTCAAGGCTTCATATCCGTCACTGTTTTGAGCAAAGCCGCCAATTATGGAGTTCCAAACCACCCGATCATGTGTTTTCATCTCATCGAAGATGTCAAGTGCACTATTGGGTTGGCCCATTTTGGCATAGACGTCAATAAGAGCACTGCGAACAAAGACATCAGAGTCCAGCCCAACCTTAATGATGCTGCAATGGAGGGGCGTGAGGTTGGAAATGGCATCACATGATCTAAGAACAGAGGAGTAAGTGTACATGTTGGGTTGGACTCCATCCCTCAACATGAGAATCAACAACTTGAGAGCCTTGAAGTTGAGGTTAGAAGGAGAGTAGGCAGATATGATTGTACTCCAAGCGACAACATTTCTCTCAGGCATTTGATCAAACAGGGCTTGTGCTTCGTCCAACATGTTGAATTTCACATACATGTTGAGGATTGCATTGAGTAAGAACGCCTTCGGCTCATACCCGTTGGAAAAAACGTGTTGGTGGACATGTTTACCATGTTCGACCGCACGTTGAGCCACGCAGCATTTTATAAGCTCAGTGTAGATAATAGCATTGGCCCATATCTTGTGTCTTTCCATGGCATAAAGTGCATCCATGGCTCTTGGGAGATCCCTCTGGTAGCTGTAAGCAGCAAGCTTACCAATCAATGCATCATAAGCATTTGAACCCTCTTCAAATTTTGCTGCTGTTGAAAAAGAACACAAAATGGAGCGTTGAAAGAGAAAACCTAATTCCATGATTGATGAAAGGAGAGGTCTGAACAGCCTAACTCCTGCAGGCTCTGAGGATGGAATACTGCACTTAAAGCTTAACTTCAACATAATCAGATTCAAATCGTAGATCTACATGTTGACCCGTTCATCTTTCCCCAATGGAGATGAGGTGATCGATACCATTTGCAGAGTAACAATGATAATGAAGCATTGGGGCTGCTATTTGTTGACATTCAAATAAATTCATAACTCTGGAAATGAAAACAAGAACAATAAAAAAAATATACAAACATGTAAGGAAAGAAAGCAGCATTCGTATTTCCCTCAATTAATCCATGAGCAGTAGATTAGCAAGGCGATGAATTCTGCACAACTGCTATTTGCATTAAATTATAGTGCTTAGAGCATCTACAACGCTTGTTGTATATTTTGGTAGTGTAAAAGTAATTTTACACTATCAACAGTGTTTTACACATCCACTTTTTTATATTCTCTCCAACCATATCTTCTATATAAAATACTTTTATAATATTTTATTATTATACTGTTATTTTACAACCTTTCATATCTACTCTCCTTATCCAAAAATTAATTCCAAATTCAATAGCAGACCTATTGCAGTAATTTATCTGAAAGAGGGTTTCAGGGCAGAGCAAATTGCAGCAATTTTGGCTTCCAATTTTAGGGCAGAGCAAATTAAAGAGATGAATAAAATCAGAGGTAAATTAGAGCACAATTAACCTGAGAGAGAGGTTACAGAGTGCATCAGTTTTGGCTTGAAAAGAAACTGAAGCAAATTGAGAGAGGGGTTGGGAGGAAGAAATTGAAGCAAAATAGAGGAAGAGCCGAAGAGGGGGGAAATGAAGAAAAAGAAAAGAGAAAATAGTGACTACACTATCTACAGTGGAAGTGTACAAATAGGTGGAAATTGATTTATGCACTATAGTGCTTTTTAGCATTAGGTATACACCATCCGTTGGAGGAGATAAAATGAATAGTAAATTGGATATAGGGTATACTTAACCATATACACATTGCGTTGGAGTTGCTCTTATAAGTTGTTGTATATATAAGTTTGTTATATTTATTACTTTTATATATAAGTAAGTGTTTATGTAGTTATAAGTTGTATTTATAATTGTCTTGTTTGATCTAACCCTTAATTGCCCTAGCTATAATTTACGGAGTAATTGAATATTTTGAGGGTTACTTAAGTTTATTTATAATTTATGATTTGCTTTGAATCGTAAAACACTCAAAAGAGTAAAAACAAGATAACCATTCATAATTCAACTTTTGGTTTTTTTTTTCAGAAAAAAAGTACTCCCTCCGTCCCAAAAAGATTTACACCTTTCAAAAAAATTGCGTCCCACAATCTCCTACCCATTTATATTAAAAAACCACTTTTACCCCTTACTTTTTCAAACCCTACCTATCACATCATACCTTTTTCCTAATAATCTACACATCACATCATACTTTTACCCATCACATCAAGGGTATTTTTGGAAAGTCAACACAAAATTATCTCTCCCTTAATTTCAACTTTAGTCAAAACGTGTAAATCTTTTTGGGACGGAGGTAGTATCACTTAATGCAACAATCAGGTTCTATATGCAATTTGAAACTAGAAACAAAGAATTTCATAATCAGATTTTCAGCATTTCTTCACTTCCGGAGCAGAATTCAGCATATAAAAAGTCAAAATCAGATTGTAAAACCATGACTGATGCAACAAAAGTTCAAAATTCTGCAAAGTGGCTCTTAAGGAACATTAAACAGCATTGAAATAACAGTAAAAGGGTGTAGTTTATTTACAAACCAGAATGTAAAGCTCAGAATTTTTGAAAATCCGCACCTAATGCTCACAATTCGTATGGTAAAAGTCAAAACATATGCACCTAAACCAATCCCAATACAGATTTTAGCAGTGAATGATCGATTTTCACTTTAGGATCACAAAAACAGCATGTATGATCAGTAATCGGTGCGGATATTTGAAAATTAAGAGCCTAATGCTCAAAATCAGCATATACAAGCTGTAACAGTAAAAATCAGCAAGCAAAAAATGCATAAAACCACGTTTAAAATGAATCTTTTCTGAAAAAATGGTACTGGAATTTAAAAAAAACAGCAAATTGACACAGATTTTAGCAAAAGCACAAAGTGGCCGATTTCAGTTAATTCTAGCATGCTTAACCTCAAATCTATGAATTTAACATGCAACAGATTAGAACACCTGAATAGTGGCTACTTCTAGAAACTACACAATGCATAATGTTGTAGAGAAATACCGCAGTAAAAATTAGTTTTCATTCATAAGGGCATTAATTTAAAAATAAACAATGAAGAACATACACCCCAAAAAAATAACAGCCAATCAAACTCTTTTAGTAATCATTTTCGGATTATATGAAAAGCAAGCAAACCAAATGCATAAAAATGAGTTAAAATCAACACTATTACAAAGATAAAATTGAAATGTGTAAGGGGATGATAACAGGATTACGTCTAAAGGCCATTTTATTTCTGGGTACCTAGAAATAGATAGAACTTTAGACAGGGGTTGACTTACTGCTATGAAATTGGACTCGATTTGGTTGCTGGAATCGGAAGGTGAAGCTTTCATGACCAGATGGAGCGAATATTTCAGCTCCCATTTGGGAGTACTCCAATCTAAATTTTATAAAACTAGTATTTTTACACAGGATTTGACGAAATTTTGTCTTCTAAAACTTTTTCGATTCAATCATTTTTACACACCATCCAATACACTTCTTTAATCTATTTTATCTTGTAATTTGTATATCAAAAAATTATAGAAACTATATATTAATAATCTATATGTTAAGACAAATCAAACAAGATCACACATGACTATATTTAGGCTTACACATTGAGAAAATTTGATGAGTCAAAGTGCTTAAATGAACAGTTCCAAAAGTCAAAAGTAGACAAAAACTGGGGGACGGAGGGAGTATAATTCTAACATGATTTTCAATATCACAGACAAAAATGTCAAAGTAGAATAAATAATATTTGAACAATTGAGTGTGTACTCAATAAAGTTTGTTTTAATGTCAAGTTTTCTAAAATACTTTTGGGTATAATATTTTTAGTATGGTTGCAAGAGTTTTCAATGTCGTCTAAAACTAATGGAGTATTTTTAATATTGTTTTTGTTTTCACTCATGAAACAACAATAGAAGTTCCTTTTAGTTCATTCCAGTTCCTTCCAATTTCTTTTAGTTTTTTTCAGTTTTTTCCAGTCTCTTCGAACATCCAGTTCTTTATTTTCACTCATGGAGAACAGGATCTATTAAGAATTTTCGAGCTTGTGCGAAGCATAGGGTAAGATTCTTCATAGCAGTTTGTTAGTTAATCATTAATGTACTTTGCTTGATAATATTTTCGCATCGTTATACCTTATTCTTTTTTTAAAAAAGAGTTCATTTAGTTAAGAAGTTTACCGGTATGAGTTTGATATCTTTTTTATTTTGGTACTTTTTTTTGGTATTGATAAATTTAATTTTGATTCTTTCAAGTCTTAGAAATAGAATGGCATGATGATGGACCCTACACATACCATTTACCCTTCGTGTTTCCCGACCATAAATGTTCCTGTTGACTATTGAGTGTTGAAATCTACCCTTGAATTAATCCACAATCAAGCAATTGATGTCTTTTTTTAATTTCACATTCCACTACCATTCAACTATTGATGTCTTTTTTTAAGTACACTACAGCCATAGATTTATTTTAAATTATATATAAAACATCTATTACATTTATAGACAGTTTATTTTAATTAAATCATTTTGCATATTATAAAAGTCCATTATAAGGAGTGCATTATAGATAGATTTTTTTTGCTTACGGTCAGAGTTAGCCTCTTTGTTATATAGATTCTTTTGAAATTGAAGCTAATTTTGGCATATTAAGCTATATAAAAGGTTATTGTCCTTGTTTTATATTTTGAAATGTCTTCCAATGTTTTTTTCCAAATTATATAATAACTTATTAGAAATTCTAAAGCGAAACAACAATTAGATTTGAGGGATAAAATAAATCTCACTATATAATATAAAATAATATAGTGTGTTTAGTACCATTTCTAATTGTGCTACTTTTCCGTTAAGAAGTTGAGTACGCCCGTTCAGGTTTCATGCCATTTTTGCCCATACACCGTTGGATCTCTATCGCCCATTTTCATCATGACCTAAATATGGTGGGAGTCTGGAGTTTCATATTCCCCAAAAGTAGTTAGCCATATCATTGTGATGGAACAGAATCCCCTTTGGAATTCTCTATTTTGCAACTGAGTAGCTTTAATCTCAAGTTAGATTCTTCCCCTCTTTTGGTTCTTAAGGCCGAGTTAGTAGTAATTTTATCTTGGCATATAATACTTCTCAATTCCCAAATTTTATTATGCTCTACGATGTTTGAATTTTCAAAAGCTTTCTATTTGCCTTTATTAAAGAAAATAGTTTTTTTCAAGTCACCCACAGATACAACGTTAACTTAAAGTGAGAAAAGTTTTGTTAAAACTGTTGGGACACATAAAGCACAATTGCAAATGATGTACTTGTTACTTGTTTAGATGATTAACTCATGTTTTACAAATTTTGTACTCCGTATGTGGTATGATAAGAAGTGAACAAACTTGATTTTGTATTGGTTTGATATGCCAAGGATTCGAAGTCATTGTGAGTAACAGAGATCATGGAATATATACTTTTTTCTAAACACTATCATGACACATGTATTTGATAACCATAAAACTTTGCTACACCGCTTTCCTTATATCACATTTTAAAACTCCAAAACAGTGAAAGCCTTATTACTTATTTCCAATGCTAAATATATCCAAAGAATGACTATGGAGGAAGTGGCATAACTTGTGGAGCAAATGGCTCAAAATACAATAAGAACGACAGAGCTAGACCTAAAATGATACAAAATGACATTTACAACTATAGATCAGGTTTGCCATAGATATGTCAAGTATCTGTTTACCGATATTTAGCCCATCTGTGCTCATTCGAATATGGTTAATTAATATGTTACTTTAAATACAAAGTAGTTCCCTTCCGTTTTAACTCCCCCCCAATGGCTATTTATCTTACAAGTCTATGTTTTCTATAAAGGGAAATGTTTAATTATACAATGAGTGCAAACAAACTTTATGATACTACACTCTAATCATAGGTTGTAGAGAGGATAACGTATACCACCAAAACTTATTTGCGTATACTCATTGGCTAAAACTTTCTACCCATTCACTTTACAAATTATTTACAATTAAACTCCTTTGTTTGAAGAAATTAATGTATTTAAAAGCCATTTTTAAGAGGTACGGACTAATTACATATAAATCCCCTTCATCCCCCTTTCATGGTTTAGGGTTTTGTAAAATATTCTCATAGTAAATTTATTTATTGAATTGATACTAATGTGGCCATTTAATTGGTTTCCAATTTTGTTCTAATGCAATCCTTGAAACTTCCCCGTACCGAAGCCAAACATTGAAGCCTAAAGACTTAAATTGGTGGGTTCAAATGACTAATTATGTGTCATTTTTTAAAAGTAAAAAACTCCAAACTTCCATTATGAAACCTAAAACATTGATACAAAGTCCAGTTGAATCAACTCCAAAGACCCTAGCTGCACATCAACATTCTGAGCTGGTAAAGAAACTTTGTCTCTGGATGATGTTCGATCTGCTCTCCACATGAGAGAAGATCGTCAACAGACAACTAATTCAGGAATAGAAAATCAGGCATCAGGACTATTTGTTACGGGTAAGGGACAGAAGACATTTGGAAAGAAGAAGCCAAGCTTTAAAGGTTCAAAAGGTCCTAAGCCTGGTGACATCTGCAACTACCGTAAAGAACCAGGGCATTGGAAGTTTGATTGTCCTAAGCAGAAGATGAAGAAAAAAGACAAGATCGAGGATGCTCACGGTTTTGCAACTATGGCAGAAGCTGATGATACAAACTCTGAAGAAGATCTGGTTCTAGTTGTCAATAACCAAACACATTTTAAGGATGTGTGGGTTCTTGACTCTGGGGCCTCGTATCATATTAGTCTATATAGGGAGTGGTTTTCAACTTATGAGCAAATAGACGAAGGTGATGTTTCCATGGCCAACGGAGTTGTCTGCAAGTTAGTTGGAATATGCTCCATCAGGTTGAGGACTCATGATGGTACATTCTGCACCTTGAATAAAGTTAGGCACGTTCCACATATGGTGAAGAATCTGATATCCTTGACTCGTCTAGACAGTAAGGGTTTCAGTTTCGAAGGTAAAGGTGGAGTTATGAGTGTCTACCAGGATTCGAAGGCGGTTCTGAAGGTATTAAACATGGTACCTTATATCTTCTACAGGGATCTATCATTGTTACATCATCTGAGATTCATAGAGGTGATGAAAGTCTTGATGTTAAGGTGGAGGTTCCATCTGCACGGATTGAGACTGTTGATCACCTAGAAGAATCATCTGTTCCTATGCCTCAATGAGGCGATCTGCGCCCCGGGAGGGGGTGATTTGGGCCCCATGAAGGACAATCTGGGCTTCAGGAGGAGTCATTTGGGCACTAGGTTGGTGTCATCTGTTCTTGTTCAGGTTCCATGAAGAGTCTTCTGGACTCAAGGTGGAGTTTGCATCTGCTGGTGTTTTAGCTTGCACTAGTTATCTGTCCCCATGTGTGAGGGAAATCTGTTTTGGTGTGTCACAACACTTCTGAACTCAAGTGAAACAATTTGTTCCTGTTTTTTGGTGATATTTGTGTCCTTGGTTGGACTTCTGGTACCTACGGTACATCTGGCCACTTCTTGAAGAAAATTTGGTACATCTGCTATTTTTTGAGGAGATTCAAGTTAAGGTGGAGATTTGTTAGAAAATGCCTTGAACTGTATTCTAGACGTATTAGGATTTACGACTAGGAATAGGTTTAGGATTATCTTTCCTATTCTCATCTTTATATATGTAGTAGGATTAGGATTACCCATATCCCCTTTCTTATATATATAGCTTGTATTTGTACTCCTCAATTTGTGGTAGAGAAAATTTGTAATCTGGTGAGAAAATACTGATCAATAATATTTTTTCTCTTCTGTCCGTGGAGGTTACTAACAGGTTGTTAGTAAACCACGTTAAATCTCTGTCTTTTTCGTGATTGACGATAGTTCGTGTTCATACTTTATCGCGTCTGTCATAACAGTGATGAATATTATTTGACATTTTATTATATTTTAATTTAATTAATCAATTCTCTTATTATGGTGTAAACATGAGATGCTTTCATTGTTAAATTTTACATAATTGTCGAATTAAAATTTTTATTTTTTTTATTTTTAAAAATTTAGGCACGGACAGTTACTTGACAAATGGGCCAATATTTATTACTCCCTCCGTCCCAAAAAGATTTACACCTTTCAAAAAAATTGCGTCCCATAATCTCCTACCCATTTCTATTAAAAAACCACTTTTACCCCTTACTTTTTCAAACCATACCTATCACATCATACCTTTTTCCTAATAATCTACACATCACATCCAACTTTTACCCATCACATCAAGGGTATTTTTGGAAAGTCAACACAAAATTATCCCTTCCTTAATTTCAACTTTAGTCAAAACGTGTAAATCTTTTTGGGACGGATGTAGTATTTCGAAAGATAAATTTTTCAAATTTTGAAAATTTGAAAAGGCATGAATTATCCGTGCCTATAAACTTTGTTGTTTTCCTCAAAATTGTGAGTTTGGAATGCTGTCGGCACGGGTAATCCCGTGTCACGGACAAGAAATCCGTGCCATAAGTTTTGGAGCTTCGAAATTGGCAGGTCTTTTCATCCGTGCCTAATGATGTTGCCACGGAAAATTAAAATTAGCGTCCGTGCCAAAGTCCGTGCCAATAACATGTTTTTTTGTAGTGATTTTCGAACCTCTGTGGTTTCGACCATCTTGCGAAATTCTTATAAAATTGGGGAAGAAGAGGAACTACAACTTTTGCTTCTCTCGAATAATCATGTCTAATCGCACAAATTGGTACAAGACAAAACCAGTTTGGATGTTTTCTTGTATACATCCAAAAATAAAATTCAAAAGATTTTTTTTACAGCCACGAACTCTGCCCCTTGGACTCGGCAGGGGCTGCCGTCCCTTGAGCCCGCTTTCGGGACAGCCCCTTTGATTGTGGAAATTGTTTTGGATATATAGTGGGTATATTAAGTAGCATCTAATCTTTTCACATTTTAAATTAAAATTGCCATGTTATCAAAGTCATCATAGGTGGTAGATGATTTGTAAAAAAAATTGTCATGTAAACCTGCCACGTGTTGCAATTCCGAAAGTCAAACTCTCAAATTTTATACTCCGTATATAAAGATATGTAAGTTTCGTTTTTTCTTTTTTTTTTTTTTTGTTTTTTTAAATAAAATAATTTCCAAAAACACGAAATTTTACTTTATTGTAATGAAACCAAGATAGAGTATTAAGTATTCCGGATTTTCTTTTTTTAGAAATAGAAATAGGGCTTCTCTTGCAATATAATTCTTTTTTAATTAAACAAAACTTACAAAAGGAGTACGCTGCAAAATATTAGAAAATTACTCAAAAACAAATTAAGTAAATTTTAAATTTTAAAAACTTTCAAAAAATTACTCAATCGCTACATTTTTTTTCTTTTTACAGTTTATGCCTAGCAATTTTTTTAAATAAAAAGGAGTACGCTACAATGAAAAATTACTCCAACGCAAATTTAGAAAACAATAACAAATGGCTCAGACTCAAATTTTGAAAAAGTACTCTTGTATGCTACTCCGTAGTATAGTCACCCACATAATGCAATGCAACCTGATTAGCTAAGCAAAATGACCGGCATGTGACATGAAACCAGTTAAAATCTTTTTTTTTTTTTTGAAAGATTTTGTGAAGTTCAATTTTTTTTTTATAAAAAATTAAAATTTAGATACTTAATTGAATATACGTTCAAAGTTCAGGTACTAGTAATAAAATTTACCCTTATGTTGTACTCCTTAGTCCTTAGAATATTAACCACAATGCAAATGTGCATTGAAAACAATAACATTAATTAAAGAGTAAATTCTATAATTGGTCCTTTATAACAGGGGGGTTTCCCTATTTAGCACCCTTAAAAAGGTCTTAGTTTGCAGCGTCAATTGCCTCACAACACCACTAACCGACATGCAAAAAAAAGCAATAATAAAAAAATATCAACAAAAAATGAAACTTTTGAGAAGCAATGAACTGAATCATCACATAATAAGATCATCAACTAAACATATATTTACAAAAAGTATTAAAAACATAGTGTGTTAGAAGATTAATACCATAGCAAAGATACACATAATATCACCATGATAATACTAATACAGTAGTAATTAAGAAACTACTCGCTCCATGTGATTATTTGAGTTAGATTTTGAGAGTGAGAAACGTTCTTAACATGGTTGCACCAGTTGGATCAGAAAGCAGATGCCTGATTAGGCCTTTCCTCATTTCGTTGGGCGCAATGACGAACATGTACAGCGCAAATAGCATTAGGTCTGTTGAGGATAGCGTTGATCCCAGAAACCCTTGCCACATCCTACACACACCCAAAGCATAATTTAATTAACTTCTCTTAGTATTAGTGTTCTTACTGAGCTTCTTCTAAGGAGAACTTGCATAAACAGCAAACAATATATGCTGCAGGTACAATAGCATGTACCAGTTTGGCAAGCGGAAGAACGTGAGAAAAAATGTACGGATTCCCTCAATATCAAGCTGCAATATAAGTGCCAGACCAAATAGGAAGAATGATCTTTGTCGTTTCTTTTCTTGCGGCCAAAGGGCATTCCAAGCTGAAATCAGATTTCCAACATTATTTAATGAAGTCAAAGTACCAACTCAAATTGTGTATTAAACCCCCAAAGGAATAAAAGTGGGTTTGTTATTTCTGTTGTGAAGTGTGTAAAGCTGTGAATAAAAAGAAAGGTGCAGAGTTGTGTATGCTAAGAAGAAAAACAGTCTGTTCCGTAATTTATTTATGATTGAAGTTGTGAATGCATGGCAATGAGATGTTCTCAGACTGCTACTAAAGTCTAAAGGCTTAAAAGACAAGTATCAATTACACCAAAAGGAACTTCTATGGCATTGACTTCAAAGTTGTTTTATAGATGTAACTTTCAAGTCACAGCAGCTTCTTAATCAAACTGCAGGAAAAAGCTACTCCTTATAAGGATATGAAAAGAAGGTTAAAATGGTGAAACACAGTTGGTAATAAGTTTTTGCTTTTGTGAGGTACATAATTAGTTTTTATATCAAAACAACGGACAATTTAAGTAAAAGTAAACGTGAGTAGTGTTTGCAAGTTTAAGCATGTAAATCTCATAAGCCAAAACCAAGGACCTATGTGCTTATTGCTTTTGTTTACTGCTTTTGCAAAAGCAGTTGAAAATACTTCCAATATAATTTGTGAGATGCACGTGTTACTATTACCAACCCTCATATTCCTTGGGTTTTCCTTAATGAACGACCATGTGTTTCTATAGGTATATCTTAGAACACTGTCCACACACTTTAAGATCTATCATGTGCCAATCATGGGAAGCAAAAATGCAAACCACAATATTATCAAGATATTTTACCAACATGATTTCATATAATGCATACCTTGAGTAGAAATATGTTCAATATTTCCTGAACTCATAAGAATATTCATGCCACGACTTTGTTTCAAAATATTTGCTATGACGGATGCATATCTTGGGGCCTCTGACAATGATCTTACTACTGAATATCCTGTTTGGATACAAAAAAAAGTGAGTTTATCATCACAATGATCAAACTTCTCTATTTGAACTTCTACTGATGTGGATCATCCTACTTTACCTGTAGCAGGGTGAACCATACTAGCAGCAGCACCAAATGCAAGGTTTCTTTGCTCTGTATTTGGCAGGGATCCACCAACTGGGATATAAGACCATTCCTGCATAAGTTTTAATGAATCGTGGATTTCAGTTAATAGTGTTTGCTGAATGCATTCCCATAAAGGACTTTAATTTCCTGTTCAGATTACATTCACATCAGAGCTACAAGATAACCTCTTCATAAATTTTCTTTATTCGGACGCCCATTGTCTCCAGTCTTAATAACAATTTCTTCTTTAAGAGCTCAAAAGGCATAGCCTCTTTTGAAGCCAAACAGGTTTCCTGCAGAGTGTACTTGCATTATGTTCTCTTTCATAAATATGTACAGTGCAGTAGATGCCAAAGTATACAGCACTAACCTCAAAAAAGACTCGTGTGTCAGACATGGGCATTGCATACAGAAAAGTTGGAATCTGTGCTTCTAAAGAGTGAACTTTGTGTCGGACATGGTCTCTGTAATCCATGAAAACCATCAGGCTGGGGTCATATGGATTGTTTTCCACCTAGAAAGTAGTAAATGCTATCAACATCATATCTCAGCTTTGCCTAGAGATTTTTACTCCCCCCGCGGCCCCGCCACACAAAAATTCACTCTCTAACCCTATTTTGGTCCCAAAAAGAGTACAATTTGAACAAATAAACGAACTTTGGTCATATTTAATACGGAGTAGTTTTTACGGAGTGACAATTAAAGAAAAAGTGCCACACACAAATTGAATGGGTTAAATTGTGTTATTAAAAATTAAGATAATTAAAAAATAGCTAAATTTGGTGATATCTACTACTTGTACCTTATTTATATAAAGAAAAGTTGCACTCTTTTCAAATGGGGCTCTATTTGTGGGATGGAGGGAGGAATATTTTAGTGTCATACTTGGTAGCAGTCAAGAAACTGCATGAAGGGCTTCTAAATTTTCTTCATAAAAAAATGCTTGCTACCAAGTAGTATTTCCTTTTGAAGAACAAAGAGCTTATTGAAACATTAGCGCAATGAAAAACTTTTGAAGAATGAAGATGAAAACAAAAGTTTCGTGAATCGTGACATAATACTTACCCTGACTCATCATTTGAGCATCCATAGTCCAAAAGAATTCATAACTTTTTAGCGTGTATATCATTGAAAGAGAAAACACAAGTGTACGACTGAGTCTTATAAGTTATAACAGTTTAGAGAAGCAATAAATTTTCTACCTCAACCTCCATGCCATAAGCTGTTTGAACAGAAACACTTGGACCCCCAACCTCATACTGCAACAATTTCCCCGAGGCTGCCCCCGATGCAACGGTAACTAGCCTATAATACAATTTTGAGGTTTTAAACCCATTATTGACATTTCCATGATTGGTATGGGAACTCAAGCAACCTCGTACCTGCATGGGATGATGATGTTGCCTTCACATTCCACAAGACTCTGACCAATTGCATTCTGAGCAATCCTTTCCACTTTCAAATTAAGATATGAAACCCCTGACTCCAAACACCTAAAAGAGTAAGACACATTACGGATGCATGACATTCACAAGTGGCAGGACCAAGATTGGAATTTTAAATATTACTCTACTTTCCCCTAAATAATCTTCCTAATTTGCTTTTTTTCCCTAGCCCTAAGTAAAATCATCTTTTGCAATTTGGTAACAGATAGGTTGTAACTTTACTCCCATCAGTTAATATCCACACCTATCAAGAAGTCAAATGCCAAAAAATCATTTTATTAAAAAACTGTGTCAAGTAAAACCAATAACCATGAACCTTGAGAAGGGGTAAGGGACAGACCAATGGAGGAATTACTTATTTTGAAAATAACTACAGTACTATGTATAACATGTTAACATCAATGTTATGCACTTATGCTTTGGTAGATATGTAGATGTCACCTTTTCAATAACTCTTCGTGAAGCAAATGGCGACTAACACGTCCATATGCACGGCCAATAAGAACAGGATCACCAGCATCAAGATATACAACGGTGTCTCGCCAAACATGTTCAATGCATCTCTGGAGCCCAAGATCTGAAAAGAAGAGAGCAAGCATGGATGCCAGTTGTGAAGGCAAAACAGAAAATTAAGGCTTACATATGATCAAAATTTATCACAAGCAGAAATTTCTGGAATATGATTAGAGGATATCCGATATCCATTGCTGGTTCTCACCTTTCATTATCCCTCTTTCCTATTCTGTACTGTAACCAAGGCTCCCAGACATGTGGTTTACTTGAGATCAATAAAAAAACCTCTTGTGAGTTGTGACACCCCCCCCCCAAGTCATGTTTTAATTTCAAAACTTACTTTTATCTAAACAACTAAAACAAGAATCCTATTACAAACAGAAGCAGCTAATTTGCATTGAATTGAGTGTAAATTTTTTTTGAGAGAGAAAGAGAGAGACCAAACAAGTTAATAATACTAAATTCAGTTTCATAAACAAAAAATTGAAAAATGGGTAGGATGGATGATTTACAAGAGTTGTATCATACCACAACAACAAAAAAATACCTTGATGAATCATGACCCTTTTTTCTTTTTTCTTGGGGGGGGGGGGGGGAGGCCAAAGGTAGTATTACAATTTAATATCATAAACTACTTTAAAGAATCCACTGTAGTTGCCACAAACTGACAAAAGCATATAGTTCAAACTCCTATATGGTAGCTGCATCATCTAAAGAATAAGGAGCTCATCACATGCATATATAAATCTATAATACATAATCATTTATGGAGCATATTAGAAGAGGACATGAGGGTCCCAAGAAAAAAAGTCTGATTTAGCAAAACAGAATTAATCAAAAAACATATGACAGCTTAAGGTTATTACCTTTGAACTCATCTTCCCAAACCCCATAGTTATTTGTGAAAGGAAGATCAGGCCCAATGAGTCCCACATTCAAGCCCAACTTAGCCGACTCTGCAGCAAGCGCAAGGCCAGCGGGACCACAACCAATGACTACCAAGTCTAAAATTCGTTCCCCTACTGATATTCCCGGCAACTGCAAGCAGCCATAAACATTTGAATAATGATGTAAAATGGAAAAATATACAGATCTCTATGCAGCAGTTACTTTTCCGCCTTTAGGCGTAGCCGCTCTAGTCTAGACATGTCCAAGTGGGATACCATTGTGTAATTCATTCCTTTGTTCAACTTATAATTTGTTTCTAAAGTTCAATTAGCAGGGAAGAAACTTGAGTAATTGCACCAACCCTAAATTACAGTGATTATCCCCAGGATTGATTTTTGGCTTGCTTTATTAAAAAATGATGTTCTACACTAATTTCAACAGTCCCTCATACTAGCTCCTTATAATGACTCAACTGGTTGACCATACGTGCACTTCATTTTCATAATGAAAACTGAAATCTAATCTTACATCAATTAGCGCAGCTAACAGCCTAACACAATTAAATGCCACAAATTTGCAAGAAAGATACTAATTGCAGAATTAGTATGTCTAGACTAATTGAGTAGAAAGATGCGGAGAACCAATTGCAGCAACAACAACAACAACACAGTAAGATCCCACGAGAGTAGGTATGGGGAGGGTGTGTGCATACAGACCTTAACCCTACTCGAAAGTAGGAAGACTGTTTCCAAGTGACCCCCAACTCAAATAGCACAGGTAATATAAGAGCATAGAAGACACATAAAAGCAGAGAACACAGACCATACAAAGAAAACAAAGTACACAACAAAGCACACAAAGCACCCAACAAAAAGTACAGAGACCAACACATAGCCCAAAGCGTCTACTCAACCACCCTAATCCTAGCTTTTCCACAAGGTCATATCTAAGACCATATAGCAAAATAGCTAAAAGAGATACGCAGCACCAATTGCAGAATTGCTAAAAGAGATACGGAGTACTAACAATCATGACAATAAGATTGAGGTAACAATTTCCTAAGGAATAAAGACACTCACCGTATTCAAAAGCTTAGACTGTTCCTCCATGTGCTTGTTTTGTTGCATTTGAACAAACAAAATCTCAGAGCCGCCGGCCTTCACATAATCATCTTCATCCGCAAACTTTTCCATCACCGCCACACCGGCACTGCTACCACCAATGCCCCCGCACCTAATCCGTAGAGCTTCTTCTTCCATCGCCGCACCGGATTTATACGCGCGGTTTCCCGTACCTAAACGCCAAAGCACATGTTTCTGACTCCTCAACCTTTTCCAGGAAAACGATTTCACAGCACTACACGGCGTCATCTCCATCGCGGAGAAGTTCAGAGCTCTGATAAAGTCGGCCATTTTCGCCCAAATTTCTCGCTTTCTCTACTTCGAACTCTGCCAGAACACCAGCTTCAGCTTCACTGCCTCTTCCGGAAAACAATTTTGAGAAGGAAAAAAACAGGGAGAAATGGCAAATGGGAGCGTTCTGAAAATTGTGCTCTCTAAAGTTTCAGCTATGGAGTGGAGGGAGGAAGAGATGAGAGGACGAAGGGCAACGGATTAAAGATGAGAGCTTTTTTCATTGGCGGTTATCTATAGGTGGGTCATGGTGTAGGGGATGATACACTAATCCACATTTATGTCACACTTTTTTAGTGTAAACAGTTATGTCACACTCTTTGTTTCTTTGATGAAAGATAGAACATTGAAAATGGTCTTCAAGCTGACCTCTTTAACTTCAATTATAATTTCATTGAAAATAGGTTTAGAGTTTTGAGCTTCAAACTTTTATTTTTTACATTTTGAATACATATTTTGTAAAATTAAAATTATAAGATTTCATTAATTAATTGAATTGAACGACAATAATTTATAAAATAAAAAATTATATTCAATAAAAAATTACGGAGTATATTAATAAAATAAGAATTGAATAATAACAACAGCAATAAAAAATTAGAAATTACATCACGCAGAAATTAGTGATTATTCGAATGACTAAAGACTTGTTTTGGAACAACATTTTAGATTAGTATTAGCGTTTTGGATAAAGTGTTAATGATGTAGATTGATTTTGAAAACGTTAACGCTAAAGGCTACCCTTGGATATCTTTTTTAAAATGCTAGTGTTACCCTCTAATGCTGATACGAAACGGGACATAAAAATATCTTCAATCAAATTTGCGGTTAATGCATTGTGAATCTCTCAGTTTTGAATTTTTTGGTGGTTTCTTCATTTCTATTATTCATCAATTTCTTCGTATTTAGGCACCTCATCGTCCGGATTGTATTGACAAATTGCAAACTCATTGTCCTCTATGATCCTATTATGAAGAATAATACATATGTAAATGATGTTTCATATTTTCGTTTGAGAATAACACTTGGGTGAATGATTTAGAATGTGTCACTTACCCTTCAACACCCCAAATGCTCGTTCGATATCTTTTCTATCCGCCTTATGAGCTTTTTTGTAGGTATGACATTTAAGATCAACTGCTTCGGAGAGAGACTTGAAAATCGTGGAATAATCTAGATATATTCCATCAACAAAATAATATTCACTCTTGTAAAACGTCTCTCTAAGCTCAAAATATAAATCGGGTGCAGTCTCATTAATTCAATCGTCAAAACAGGTGACTAATTAAGAACATTGATGTCATTGTTCGAGCCCGCAATACCAAAAACCGCATGTCAAAACCATAAGCCATTAGAAGCCATAGCTTCGAATAAGATAGTAAGCTTGAAATGATCACTCCGGGAGAATTGACCATGCCACGTAGTGGAACAATTTTTCCATTCTCAATGCGTGCAATCGATGCTTCCAAGCATGCCGACAAAGCCATGTTTAGCGGCATGCCTAGCCTCTAACTACTAAATGCCGCTCGCTGTCGGCTTATGTAAATACCTTTTATGATGAAGTCGAATAATAGTTTTAGAAAATTTATAAACATATGATCTGATGCTCTAAGCCGACATCTTCAAATATTCGTTGAACATGTCAGATGTCGTCACGTACGCCATCTGACGAAGCGCGGCGTGCACTTCTAGACACTGCTAAAATCAGGTCGGCCTCTAGCATCAAAGCGTTGGGTGAACAAGACACTTTGCGTTCAATATCGACGAGTATGCGTAAAAAAAGAGAACGACTCATCCAAAAATGATTATTAAAATCCTCCGGTGTGTAATAAATTAAAGTCACGAAGTATTGAAGTAGTCGTTGAGTAGTGAAGCATGTGCAACCGCCCGATCACGATTTAAACGCTCACGTCAGGTTGAACGTTGAGATGATTCCGCTATTGATAACAACTCATCGCGAAACAAAAAAAATGAGAGCTCTTCTTTCATCGTCAGATGATGATCCCATTTTTCAAATATTTTGTGGAGAGAACAAAAAGAAATTGAATATATTTTAGAGGAATTATAGAGAGAATGAAAATATGTTGTGTGTGTTTGTCATGTTAAAAATAAGAAGTATTTATAGTATTAAAAATAATTTTAAAAAAATTAAATAATGCCCAACGACATTATAGCCGTTTGGGGCCAATGACTCGCAGGTTTGTGTGTTAATAAACGTTTAACGCAGCGCAGATGATGCCCGGATAACACAATTTGGGGCGGTATTTAACGCTGCACCGGCGTTAAACGCCGGATGACGCCCCCTGGCGTTAGATGCATTTCGAGTACTCTGAAAGTTAGAGCATTGAAAATGGTTGTGAAGACTTAGGGCTTCACATTTTTTATCTGCCACATCAATTTTAATCTCTCTTTAACTTACACCATAATTTCATTATAAATAAGTTTGAAGCCTTGGGCTTCAAGTCTCTATTTTTTACATTTTGAATACACATCTTGTAAAATTAAATTTATAAATTTTCATTAATTAATAATAAAAAATTATATTCAATAAAAAGCTACGTTAATAAAATAAGATTTAAATAATAACAACATAAATAAGAAAAAGTTAAAAATTACATTACATTATGAAGAATTACTAAAAATATGTGCATTATGAATCTCTCGTCTTCGAATTTCTTGCGAGTTTCCTCATTTTTTTCTTCATCGATTTCTTCGTACGTATGTATCTCCTCATCCAGGTTATAATGAAAATTGCAAACCTGTTGTCCTTTATGATCATTTTAAGAAGAATAATACATGAATACATGATATTCCTCATTTTTGTTTGAGAATAAAACCTGGACGGACGACCTAGAACTTCATTTACCCTTCAACTCCTTGAAGGCTCATTAATATTTTTTCTCTCCGCCTCACGAGTTTTTAAATAGGTCTGGCATTTAAGACTCGTTGGTTCAGAGAGAGGGACTTCACAATTGTGGAATAATCTAAACATATTCAATCGGCAAGACAATATCCACGCCTATAACTGCTCAATTTTGCTCGTTGTCGGTTTATGTAAATACCTTTTATGATAAGGTCAAATAATAGCTTTCGAAAATTTATAAACACATTACCTGATGCGCCAAGCGGACATCTTCAAGTATTTGTCAAACATATGACTAGTCGTCTCGTACGCCATGTGATGAAGCGCGATGGTGCACTTTTGGACGCTGCTAAAACCGCGCCGGTCTCTTGCATCAAAGTGTGGGGTAAACACAGGCACCCCGCATTCAACATCAACGAGTATACAGAAAAATAAAGAACAACTCTTCCGAAAACAAGTAATAAAATTCTTCGGTGTGTAAACACTCACATCGGGTCGAGCATTGTATGTTTATTTAATGGTTGGAATATTGTTCTAGAATTATTTTTATTGTTAACTTAATTAATTATGTTGAGAGAAAAATTAATTAATAATTGGAAATTAGTTTTTGCCTTGTCTATGAGGATATAAAATTAATTAAGCTAAACTTTTTAGAACACATTAATGACAACTTGAGAGAGGTTAAGTTAATGAAATATTTGTTACAGAAATATTATCATTTCAATTATTTATTAAATATGTGACAGCAGTAGTTAATCTAGATATGTCTTGGCACAAAGTCTAGTCTTATACCCGTACTCTTTATTTTCTTTTTTCTCAAAAGCACCCAATGGTGTAGTATTTTTATTTTCAAATCAAATCGAGAAGACTTCTAGATTCGTCCAAACCTTCATCTAGTTAGAAAAATTAACTCCCGAAAAGATCATGCATTATCGAATCTAAGTTACGAAGTCTGAGTGTTTCTTTGAATACACACCATTTTTGTGCACCTTCTAACATAAATTTTATATTTTAAATAAATTTTTTTATCGCAGTAGTAAGCATTTGCTTACTACCTTTATTTGTAGATATATGATGCACCCTGCCTAGTAACAATGTTTTTTCACTACTATTGCATTTATTATAATATAGTCTGTAATATTTTTTCATATTTTTCTGTGACTAATAAAATACTCCTTCCATTCCTAAATATATCTCACATTTCTATTACCGAGGTAAAACATCAAGTTTTTTCAATTAATGTTATTTACATATTGGTATAGAAATAAAAAATAAAATTTACATATAAAAAAACTACATGAAAAGTTCTTCCAAATAAGAGGTGTCAAGAATATTTTATTCTATCAAATAACCAATGAAAACGTAGAAATAAACAAAAGTTCCGACTGTTGAAAAAGCAAATGTGAATTATATTTAAGGAGGAAAGTAGAATAAATTACCCCTTCTGCTAGGAATCGAAATGGAGAACATCCGTAATAATTACGGGTATAAAGAGAGAGAGACACGTTGAAGCATTTCTTTTCCTCTTTCTCCATTGTTCTCACCTGCTTCAACCTAACCCTACCTTTCTGCAGTTTAATTTTAGGCATACAGAGGGACAAAATCAGAGACCAAATCAACTCCATCCCAGATCCCCTTGTCCGATAACACCCACTGTTCACTGTGATTTTCACTCTACTGCACATTCCGCAGCGTTTGTTCTTCAGCGGATGGAGCCGCGTGTTGGTAACAAGTTTCGACTCGGACGTAAAATCGGCAGTGGATCCTTCGGAGAGATCTACCTTGGTTTGTTTTCAACTATATTCTTGAAAGTTCATCGTTTCTAATTCAGCGTTCTTTGTATTTTTTCTTGATTTTTTTTTGCAAAATCAGTTGAATGATGTAATTAATTGCTGTTTTTGTGGGGTTCGTTTCTGCAGGTACTAATATACAGACCAATGAGGAACTAGCAATTAAGCTTGTGAGTTTTTTTAAAAAAAATTTAGTTGATCAATTAATTGTTTTTTTGCTTGTTGATCTATTGAATTTGAAATGAAAATTTGAAAATTGTTTTTGTTTTGATCTTTTATACTCCGTATTTGATTAAGGGGATGCCTTTGAAATTTTTATAAGGGAAGTAGTACTGCATCTAAAACTGTGTTAAGACAGTAAATACTTTAGTTTAGGCTTTTAGAATTGCTTAACAGAGATGGGTTTTCGTGTTTTACTGTAGTTGTATTTCTTGGTTTACTCCAATTCATAGTTGGCAAGCATTTATAATAGGATTGGAATACAAGTTATATTGGAAATAGCACAGAGTTTGAAATGGAAACCTTCTTAATTTTCCCTCTCTTCAATTCAAACGATCCAGTTCTGTGATGCCACACTATGAATAATCACTAGGTCACATTTGTAAATAATCTAAATATTTTGCCTTTGAGGCTGTCAATGCAAGGGTATAGTTTCACCCATTACGGAATGGAATTTATTAAGGACTACATTCTGTATAATCTCTGCTTTGATTTATATCTTCTTCACACTTTCAACAAGCTGTTGTAGTATCATTCTAACAGCATTGCTGCTGCTGCTAGTTGTGAAATTGGACGAAGGAATTTCTCAGCTGATGCATCTCATCACAAAATGAAAATCTCTTTCTAGTTTTTGGATGTATTTCATCATTACTTTATTATGTAATGCATATGTGTCTTCAACTAAGAAGATTGTCAGTCGGTCACATATTAGACCCATTATGACCAATTGCAAAAATGGAATACCCATCTTTGTCAAAGAATGAAAACTTCGTTGGTCGGTTAAAACAAAATTCCTGTCATTAGGCTTCGTAGTATCTATGCCCTCTGTAACCACTCTGAAACTCATTATTTTGTACGTTGCAGGAAAATGTCAAGACTAAGCATCCTCAATTACTGTATGAATCAAAATTATACAGAATTCTACAAGGAGGAAGTAATAGAATCAGTACTTTGTTTCATTCCACCTAATTTTATTTGGTTGAAATTATTGAAGTTCTCATGCGATTTTTCTTTTCTTGTAGCTGGAATACCAAATGTGAGATGGTTTGGTGTGGAAGGAGACTACAATGTTCTGGTCATGGATTTACTTGGACCCAGCCTTGAAGATTTGTTTAATTTTTGTAGTAGGAAGCTTTCTCTGAAGACAGTTCTGATGCTTGCAGATCAAATGGTTAATACTTAGCCTATCAAGTATTGTGGGAATGTATATTCATTTTCAGACTTGTTGATGCTACATTTCTGTTTTTCCCACAGATAAACCGTGTTGAATTTGTACACACTAAATCCTTTTTACATCGAGACATCAAACCTGACAATTTTCTTATGGGCTTGGGACGACGCGCAAATCAGGTTATGAGTTTTTCTGAGCTTACCTAGTTCAAAGTTTTTTTCATTGTCATGTGCAGGTGTTTGTCTGCTTATATTTTGTTTTAAACTTCCCATTTATTTTTTACTAAATACAGGTATATATAATAGACTTTGGTTTGGCTAAGAAGTATCGAGACTCTGCTACTCACCAACACATTGCTTACAGGTACTTTGTTTGACTATACGGTTTAGGAGTTGTCGGTGGTACTTCTGCACTCAGTGCTGCTACTCTCGTTCCTTCTCAATTTAATCTAATATTACAGAGTATCTGATATATGTGTGTGTGTGTGTATATATATGTGTGTGTGTGTGTGTGTGTATATATATATTGTATAAGATAGAAATTTGTGTTTCTTACTATGAAAAGAATTTTTCTGTTGTACTATGAATCTATGATTGAACTAAGTTGCACTGGGATGGGGACAGGGACCTAAACGGGGACGGGGTTAGAAGCGTGAAACACCAATTTTTTTCGTAATTTATAACGGATTTGGGTGTGGGGACAGTGTGGGACACCCCCAAGTGCCCGACTGGGGATGTTTCAGGGACGGGAAGTGGCACCTATTTGAAGAATCCGTGCAACATAGTGATGGAACATCACTATAGATTAACAAAAAAAGATTTTAAATGCAAGATTGATTGCAATTTTTTTTCTTTACTATCTTTTTTATAGATTCTGGAAAGGCTTTAGCTTGTTTACCAATCTGTTGTAGTTTATTGACAATTTATTACAAATGCGCACACAGCCTTCTCAAGGCTGGTTTAGACGGCCATTAGCTGTTTTTTCTAAACCCAGTCAGGACATATTTTCTTGTCATTTCTGGTAATTAAATAATTTTCAAAAACAATCCATATACTGGAGGTTCTCTGTCTCCTTCATAACGTGCACACTTCTTTACCCCACGCAACCCTCCCACCGCACAATGATGCATTTTGATGTTTGGAAGTCGTTTGTTATGATCTGATGAAGGGTGTTGGACAATGCAGAGAGAACAAAAGTTTGACTGGAACTGCTAGATATGCTAGCATGAACACTCACCTTGGTATTGGTAAGGGTTCTGCTCTTCCGCTTGTGTTGAATTAGTTGTTATCTTGCTAGTTTTACTTATAAGTTAAAAAGAAACTTTTCTATTATCTTTACCACAGAACAAAGCAGGAGGGATGATTTGGAGTCTCTTGGATATGTCCTAATGTACTTCCTAAGAGGAAGGTGTTAGCTGTTGCTCTTGCCCACTCATTTAATAACTTGTATTTTTCTGCTAGCGTGTCTTCTCACTTATATAAACTGCAGTCTTCCTTGGCAAGGACTAAAAGCAGGAACGAAGAAACAAAAGTATGAGAAAATAAGTGAGAAGAAGGTTTCAACTTCTATTGAGGTAATTTTCATGTTAAGTTTGCTTTTAGAAATCCTTCTACTTGGTTTTAGTTGGAAGAATGGAGACTAATGTCATTTTTGCAGGTCTTGTGCCGAGGCTATCCTACAGAGTTTGCATCGTATTTCCATTACTGTCGTTCACTTCGGTTTGACGACAAACCAGATTATGCTTATCTGAAGAGAATCTTCCGTGACCTCTTTATCCGTGAAGGTGATTATATTTAGCTAGGACTAGTACCTTGGATTCATTTATTAGTAAAATGCATCACAGAGTAGCAGATAAACAGACTATGTTAAAAAAAGAGTTCTATTTCAAAAACAATTCTTTGTATCAGAAAACATTAAGTTTAATGAAATGAAACCTAGTTCTTTACGTAGATTGCTAAAAAAGAGTCAGATATACTCCGTATTTGATAAATTTAGTCAAACCACCCAAAAAAACAGAAATGTATGTTTCATGATTGTGATAGCTGTTCTGTGCCAAAATAAAAAAAGCTGTACGGAGTGCGTTGTTTAGTCATGACTTTTCGGGATAGAGTAGTAAAAAATGGCAATTTATCTTTAATTTTTATTGTGTTCGCAGGATTCCAGTTTGACTATATCTTTGATTGGACTATTTTGAAATATCAGCAATCACAGATTTCAGCTCCCGCTCCTCGGGCTCTTGTAAGTAGGTGTATAGTGCTATATTGTTGGAATATAAGATATTCATCACATTTAAATATTTGTTGCTTTTGCAAGGGTGCTGGTGCCGGTACCAGCTCTGGGATGCCCCCTCTGGTCCCTAATGCGGAACAGCAGCCTGGTAACTTACTATCATTTGCCATAAGTTTTGTGTCTTGGAACTTGTGAACTTAAATCTAGCACCTCTTGCAAGGTCAAATATTCTTTCTCAGACTTCATTTATCAACTCCCTGCAATATTTAGTTGCTTAAGTGTTTGCAGGTGAGGAAGAAGCTAGACAATTAGGTGATTCCTCCCGAAGGAGAATCTCCGGGCCACTTGTAAATTCAACTGGATTGTCTAAGCAGAAAAGTCCTATTAGAATAGATTCTGCAAGCAGAGATCCTATGGTAAGTTACCCCTAGTTGCAAACTAAAAGTATTTTAAAATTGAAGATTAGATTGCAAGTTTTTAGCTTGAATCAATGAAATGTATTTTTATTATACTACCTGCCCCCCAAAAAGCCATATTTGACAATACTAGTTCTTAATTTTAGTAAAGTACATATGCCATGAATCTTGAATCATATATTTTACATTTATTTACTGATTCCATTGATTTTGTCGTATGTAACCCTTGTATTTCATTTTTGGTAAATATATGGCAAATTGCATGAAAGTAAGCTTTGTCTAAAGAAAGTGTAATTTTTTTTGCGCGATGAAAAAACGTTAGAATCATGCTTATATATAGAGAAAAAGAAAAAGAATGTGTAGCATTTGGTTGGTCTTGTGCCTTTGAAACAAATTGAACCAATAACCTTGCAGGTGTCAAGCTCCAGCTTTATGGGAAGATCAAGTGGGTCATTCAGGAGAGGTGCAGTCTCCAGTGGGCGTGAAACGTTAACCATTGGAAATGACTCTGACCCCACAAGGTTGCGAACCCCGGATATAAGTCCAGGGGCCCTACAGAAATTGTACGGAGGACAAAGAAGCTCCACAGACCCTCCAAAACACATCAACACTTCCGGTGGCAAGGACTATGAGTCTGCTGTCAAAGGGGTAGAAGCCATGCGCTTGGACGAAGATTATTGAGTTGAAAAAGTCCGGGGGGCAAAGCCAATTTCTCCTCGGCACTGTATATTTTTGGTCTTCTTGAAATTTGAGTTTGCACATTAAGGGAGCTGTTCAAAGTCAACATGTGATTGTTGTAATTGTTGTGTGTGCAGGCTGATCTGATTATTGTGGTATGCCACACTCCTCTTTACATTGGCATGCTCTTAAAAAAGTAACAAATGCTTGGCAATGTTACTGAACCTGTAAATTTGACCATTGTTGTTCATTCATGCTACAGATGATTTTTGCTGCAGTTACCCCACCCCCAGCATTCCTTGAATCATGACCCTATTGTTAGTCTATGTGGGGGGTGGGGGGTGGGGTGGGGTGGGGTGAATAAGGTGTTTAAATATTTTTGGGGTTAACTAAAATTAGTGTTGGCAAATGTGGAAGTGATGTGAAAAACGTAGAGATGAATGCGTAAAAAAAGTAAGAGACATCAATTTTATATTGGTTTGGGAATTCTTCATTCTAGTACCTTAAGGCTCCTTAAGAATTTTTGGATCCACTAATCCCAATTTCTTGAATTTTGTCAAAAATTTGTACTAGTTTGGCAAATAATCCTTGCCAATATGATTCATTTTGAGATTTCACGATTATCTTGTACCACTGCAATAAAGATTTACATGCTATTTTCTACCTTTCTCCTCATGGATTTCAAAGTTATCTTTGAACCATTATACAAGGATTTCTATGGCTATCTTCAACCGATTATCAAAGGAATTCTTGGCTATTCTAAATTGTTACAACATGATGATTTGTGTATGAACACAGAAAATAAGGAAAATAAGTGATCAATCTTTAGCCGGTGAGGAATAGAGATTATATGCTCTTAAACAATATAAGCAATCTATGAATATGAGAGCATTGTCTATGGTCACAAACTCATTGTCTCTATAAAATTAGGATAAAAACAAAGCTATAAAAGGTCAAAAGAGATCGTTAAATAAAATCAAGAACACATTTAGAAATGAAGATGGGTGATTTGGAGCTTGGATTGATGATTAAAACAAAGTATTGAGGCCATAAATGTTGTATTTCAAAAGTTAACGTTGATGACTGCTCGAAGTTGATTTGAACTAATTATGTGATTAATATCGAAATGAGTAAATTTGAAAATTTTAATTTTTTAATTTTGGTCACATCCTTTTTTTATTTTATTCAAAACCTTTTGGATGTTTAAGAATGATTATTAGAAGATTTTAAACGTATTTTATTTATGCATTTGAGCTTGAGAATATAGGCATATAGAATCACATTTTTACATTTAATTATACTTATGTTCTACGCTACTTTGGCGTTTCAATTTCATTCTTAAAAATCAGTTCTTAATGAATTCTTATTGTTTCTGAAACACTCAAATTAACATTTGGTCATCTATTGTTGACTTCAAAACTCAAGATTAGCAAATCAAGGCTAACACTTATCCCGTCTTTGAATGAGCATTTCGACTTGGTATGATCATTGAGAAAGTGAAATAAACACTATCAGCCAAACACTATTCCTTGAGAAAAATGAGACAATATGTGACATGCCACATTCATTGACTCACTCATTGTGCACACCGAAGCAACATGATGGGGATGGTGCTTTCAGTACATTATGGTGTGTTCACAAATGATTATTATTGTGTAAGTATAAATCATTTGTGATTATCTTCCGTGGAGGCACCCATATGAATTTCTAACATTTTTCATTTGTTTAAGATTGGCTCATAATATGTACCAATAAAAAACATCATGTAGTCACAGAATATATGAAGTAATATTTATACCAAAACAAATTAATTTTATTTGTTTAAGGTTGACTCATAATATGTACCAACAAAAAACAATATGTAGTCAAATAATGTATGGAGTGATATTTTTACCAAAACAAATTAATCCGAAACTGGAATCAGCCACGTACTTGAAACACAGTAGAAAGGAATTTATTTACATGAAAGAAGTTTTGTGATCCTGATGTTCATTACTAAAAAAAAATACTATAAGCAAGATTATTATTATTATTATTACTATAATTCTTTTTGCAACAATTGAAGAAGTAAAATGGGCACATTTTTTTTATGGGAGATGGAGTACTCGTTGGAATATGTAAACACGTTATACTATACACTATATTCTAATGAGCCAAATAGATAATAACACTAGCCACACACAAACACAAAAATACACAAACACACATTATTCTTACATTAATCCAATCCAGAATACAGACCACCCGCCCATATAGATGGAAGCGAGCCCAAATACAGACCGACCCGCCCACACAGACGAAAAGCGAGCCGAAATACAAAGGAAGAGCGCCCACTATTGTGAGCCAATAATACAACAGATGGAACAACAATAGAACCCCTCTTATGCCAAGCATATATAGTTCAGAGGGTTGACAGACTGATTTACAGGGGGGGGGGAGGGGGGAGATGTCTCCCCTACCGCTACAAATTTTACTACTAATACACTCAGTTTTTGCTAGCTGTCATGCGGTCATGGTAATAAAGCAGCAGACACATGGGCTGACCATATATGCTGAAGAAGCACCAAAATATTATGTTCCCCACCTGAGAAATTCAAAGTACAAAACACTCATCTTCTTGCTGTTTGTTTTGCTGCTATAGGGTGAGTATATTTTATACTTAAAAGTGCTTCAAAACCATACTTTCCAAATGGGACAAAATCTAGAAGCATGATAGAATATCTCGGTTGAAAATTGAACGAAAACACGTACCACTGAACTTCCGAATCTGTCTCGCAAGTAATTAGTCAGCACGACTAGGGGAACCTGATGCACACAAGACACACTATATATCACCACTCTGTTTTGAAGAAGAGAAGAAGAAAACTCGTACTCGTAAATTTTTCCAATGGTGAGATGGGATTGGTACACAGAAAGATGCAAACCTGAAACATAATTCCAAGAAATGCCCAACACCTGAAGATATGACAGGGAACGGCTATACAGAGCTGCAAGCAGATAAACAGACAAGCATTTATATGGCATGCCAATGGTGAATAAATTAACTCAAAAGTTACCATATGCAAAGGGGAATCATTATACCTCATGGAAAACAGCAGATAGAAGAAAGGAAATCAAAACCGCTATGCTCTGCATCAAGAAATGAACATCGAATGTCAACTTTGGATTAGAAGTTAAGTAAGCTGACTACACGTGAGTTAGGATTGCACAATCACTCAAACACAATCGAGATGAAGAAGGAAGATATCAAAGAGGAGAGATTGCCCTCAAGAAGAAAATACAGAAACATCTCGGTAAGGCCTCATGTGTAAACTCCACAGTGGCAAGACTATATATTGATGATTTTGGAGTATGTACAATTGAACAAAAATTCTTCAAGAGTACTTTAAGAAAAGGTGAAACTTATCGTTGAGATTTATGCAGAGAGAAATAATGTGAATCACTCAATACTTACTCTAAAATGAATGAGAAGATTATTTTGGGACGGATGGAGTATTATATTAGGCTCAACAACCCAACAACATGAAGGTTTTGAGTAGAGCACGCCTCATTTGGTTAATTTTGTACTTTTGTCCTTTTAAAATAAGCTTATGGGATGTTTGGGAACTTGGCTTTGAATTTCAAATCCAGATTTGGCTCAAATTCCATGTTTGGGAGCCTTAAAAAATTTAGATTTGGATTGGAGGCAAATTCCTCTAATTCATAACAGAGCTCGATTTGAAATCCATTTACCTCCCCTTGTCATTTGAAATTCAAAAATTCAAATTTTGGAATTAAAATGCAAGAACTAAAATGAAATATAAAGGAAAACTGACATCGTCAGCCCCCACCCCCCACCCCCACGCACACGCACACACCCACAAAAGTACCTTTGGCAAGCCATTCCTTATGCAGGGAAAATATATATGGCGAACAATCCACTTATGAACAGGCTGCAATAATCAAAATTGAGTGATTTACAAATTAACAACACACAGCAGGTGAATTACAAGCTTTCTAACCCAGCAATTCTAATCAAGCACGCCAATTTTATATCCCAAAAGCAAAAAAGTTAAGTTCAGATCCATTAATCCAGGTATAAGTTATTCAACTAAACAAGGTGATTGCAAGAAACTGAATTTTAATGGCTTTGTAACTAAGCAATGCTCACTCCATTCTTTTTTGATTGTTTCACGTTCTGCACCAAATGCTTGACCAATAAACAACAACAACCCAGGTGAATCCCACAACAGTAGGGTCTGGGGAGGGTGTGTGTACGCGGACCTTGCCCCTACTCGGGAGTAGGGAGGCTGTTTCCAAGAGACCCCCGGCTCCACCTTTCTTAAATTATACTCCCTTCGTCAGGAAATGTTCTTCCTGTGTTGACTTGGCACGCTTATTTAGGGGTAGAAAAAAGTGTCAAACTTCCAAGAATGCCCCTACTTTAATATGAGGGTGAATTAATTTGGTTGGGTGGGTATTAAAGTGGAAGGGTGTTATTGACATTTACCCTTAAAAGGTAAGCTAAAAAAGAAAATGGGAAGTATATTTTCCAACGGACTGAAAAAGAAAGTGAGAAGAACATTTTTGGACGGAAAGAGTACTAGCAAAAAATATTAAAAAAATACTGCATAGTATATAGACAATTAAAAAAGAACGGAGTAATTCTATTTAAAAAAATACTGCACAATATACGGAGTAATTCTTATAATTTTATTCATTCTATAATTTCATATGTAGTTAGTCAAAATACGGCACAGAGAAAACCAAAATAGACAATTAAAAAAGAACGGAGGGAGTAACTAGGAGGAGTAGGAGCAGAAAATTTTAGTGACCAGAAAATTTTGGTGCTTCAGTAAATTTTGGTGCTTCAGTTTTCGGAAGCAGACTTATATGGAAAAGAATTTATGCAGAAAGTAGGAGCAGAAACAATTAGACCAAAAACTTCAGCGCTTCAGTTTTTGGCAGTAGAAATATTTATGGAAAGGTATTTATGCAGAAAGTAGAAACCATACCATATTCCACTTCCTCCAGTACTGATTAGAGCAGCCAACACGATGCAATAAAAACAAAGAGTTGATCAGCTTCTGAACCCTTCTGAAATAACTACTGTAAGTTACACAAGAAGAAAGTGCTTATTCACGGCTTACCTCATCAATTGTTCTGGCATTCCACCAATCTTTGTAAAACTCACGATCACCAAACCGCAGGAGCTCTGCAAGTATATTTAGCCTGCATCATAGTAGTATATGAAAGATGATTAAATTAGGTTCATAGAGACAAATGACATACATTTGTCACCATTTTCCATTAACACATGAAACCGTAAATGACATAAAAAAAGCACATGTGGACAAGTCCCTAAGTGAAAGCAGAAATATGACCGTTCGATGCATTTACAGTTATTTATGTTGGATTAATGGAATAATTCTTTGCCTTTGGGAAAATTCAATATATTAAAGAGAAAGCAAGGATCTTTAATGTGATACCAAAATCAGACATACCAAAGATGAAAGAAGCAATAGAATAGGCAGAGCCAGACATATAAGGTAGGAACTGAAAGCTTCAAGACCCTTTCAATGGCATATAAAAGGTTTCCCTTAAAGGGGTGTTGTGAGTTCCGCACAGTAGGGTTGATATACTGCGACAGTTGCAAAAAAATCAGCAAAAAAAAAGACTAACATGTTTAAATATCACTCTTGAAAGGGACATGAAAATCACCTGTTCTATGATAAATATCATCAGTCCTGTAAACATAATCAACTTGCAAAATTGGTTGGCCAACCAGCCCTTACGAATGCATGCATTGCGAGGATATATCAGCTGGAAACGACACTACATCAATATGGAAACAGCAGAAAATTGCAAAAAAAAAAAAGGAAAATGAATGTCTGGATAAGATGAAGATGCAGTATTGTAGCATCATTCATAATTATCAAAATAAGGGCAATAACTGATCTCAACTTCTTGTTTCTGTCTCCCAACCTAAAGATTCAGTTTTGGAAAAAAGGAAAAACATTTAGTAAAATAATGAAAAAAATGGGGTGGAACAAAATAATGTGTCTACTTATAACCTTTTTCCAGTTTTGCTCTACTGTTTTTTCCTTATTATAAAAAAATCTTACACCAAGCTTTATACTAGCAAAACTAGTAGAGCCACCCTTACATCTGTTCCTTTTTTTTCCTTTCTTGTTTTTCTTTATCCTCTTTCTTCTTCTTCTTCATTTTCTAACCTAAGGAGCTCTATAATATTATAAAATCATTTGGAAACAACATCCCTTCCACTTTAATTAGGGATACATCCACCCCCAAACCCCAACTTGTGGGACTCCAATAACTAGGTTGTTGTTGTATAATTATAATATCAATTCTATATTTTATATTTTATACTTTATATAACAAATATTTTTCTTCGAAAATTGTGTTAGTGAACTCATATTTTATACCTTATTCACTTAATTTTCTTTATCCTCAATTTCTCACCATCAAAACATCGAGAAATAAAACGTATGGAGTACTAAAAAAGGTTCAATCACAAGGCACCTTGGTAGTCTCACCTGATAACATAACGTTGGAGCAACCATGAAGTATATTAAGCTTTTGAAGCGAACCTCATAAAGGCAATCCATGTACGGAAATTCAGCCTAAGAAAGTAAAAAGGTTGAGAAGATTAAACAACGGTAAGTGCCGTCGTGCTGATAACAATTTCCAGCAGCATTTTAGTGAAACATAGTAACCATTGAAAAAAATTCCCCTTTCCGTTTTAAGAAAAGATTCTGTGGTTGAATTTCTCTCTCCTAAAAAATTTCAACCACACAATTTCACTTTATTAAAAAGCGAGAAGTCAAAATAGGAACATAAGTATGGGCAGAGGGAGTATAATGGTTTGAGTAAGCTTCTCGATTCATGTAATATGCTTTCCATTGGTGCCAAAAAAAAGTGTCTGTTTCAATTTTTTCATTAAACCGCACCTAAACAAACACACACACACACACGCACACACACACCCACACCCACACGCACACGCGCGCACACACAAACACACACACACAGATATATATATATATACATACATATATATATACATATATATATATATATATATGACTTGTAAGAGTACGTTGTAATGTTCTACACTTGTACAAACCAAAATTTTAATATTGTATCTTTTTAAACATGGCAGAATTCTTTTCCGGAGGTAGTATTTATGTAACCAACAAAAATCCAGCCTTGTTTTAAAAAAGGAAGAATATGCAATAGACGGAAACGAAGATAGTACTCCATATAATTATATGCACAGTGGAATTCATGCAGTACCTCATGACAAGACTTTGTGATTGCTCTCATATCATAGTTTGCATGTGCATAAGAAACCAACTTTAGCCATATGGTGCATGCAAGAAGCATCAATCCCAAACCCGGTAAAATAGCAGAATCAGACCTGGGCAATTTGAAGATCAAGCAAATAGTCATTTAAACTAGATGTGATTAACGACTTGCATCACAACTCCCACAAATTTTTACTACATCCTTGCCAAAGGTGTTGTCCCATTGTCAATTTTTGGGTGTTCCATTTTTCTTATTCTCATTTCTTAAAATGGTTAACATAAGTGGACTAAAATCAAGATGGGGTTTTCTTCACATTTGAGCCAAAATGACATGAGACAGATCTTTGGGACTGAGAATTGAAGTATTTGAATCTCGTCATCATTAGCTCAACGAAAACTAAACTTTACATTAATGAGACAAAATAACTAATTTTGACTATATGACTAATGTCCCTTCCAGGTGGAGGTAGGTATATGTTTAAGATTCACAGGTAGAGAACAAACCTTAGAATGACAAGAACCGGAAATATAAGGATAGCACTTGTAAGTATTATATGTAAAGTTACTGCAACCTGCAATATTACAATTGTATTATGACCAAAAAAATTTACACGCCTCCCAAAAATTATGTACTTCTAAACACATCAACTACTCACTGTGTCAACATTGGCAGATAGACATTGTGTTTATGGGGAGGGGGGGGGGGAGTGATTTTTAAAAATATAGTGATTTTTAATTTTTAAAAATATTTTAAAATTATTTCTTTTAAAATATTTTATTCCCAAACCGGCATAGATTTACAAAATACAAATTACATACTTCAAAACTACATCAAAAGTTCTATAAAACAAGATGTGACATGAATATTTTATTTTATCAAATGATAAACGAAAACATGTAAACAAATAAAAGTTACTAAGAGTCCAGAATAGTAACTGTGACGATAAATTCGGCATAGAGGAAGTATGAAAGTACATATATTTATAATATGATAGTTATATAACGTTATGATGTACTTTGTAAATTACATATTTCTACTTTTGAAATATTTAACTATTCGAATACTTATTTAATACTCTGTACGAATTTTTTTTATCATTTCAAATTGTCTTTAAAAAAAATCATTTCAAATTGTCTTTAAAAAAAACTTTCTGGAGGCGCTGCCCCCGGACCCCTCGTCCTGTCCTTACCTAAGGGTGCCCCCGGTCACTGTTTATTCTAGATCCGCCAGTGTATGTCACAATGTATGAAATTCTTTCCAACAATACATAAAATTCCAAAAGGAATCAGACTATTAGATCTGACTTACTGGATCACTTATGTACTTCCTATGGACTAGCTTTTCAACAAGAAAAGCAGCAATTGGAAAAAGCGGGAGGCTGAGGCTGCAATACAAATATAATACAGAGGGATCACAAGAGCATGCTTAAAAGAAACAAACTCCAATGAGATGAGAAGGTCATAGATAAATTACCCGCACATTAGAAGCGGCCAATCCGTCAAAGATTTTAAAAAGCCCAACTTGATCAACAGTCCATACTGCAATAGTAATCATAAGCTTGTTATCTGCTAGTGAAGCGTTTATTCTCAAACACAAATTTTATTTTTCTTAATAATCGTGTGCCGATTACAATGTGAAACCTTGTTTTGGAAGGGAGGGAGTTTGAACACTTCTGAATATAATAATAGGAGTTACTTTTAGTTCCAAAAAAGGAATGCAGTTTAATAGGATGATCAAGTACTTCGTATTTGGTATTGCATTTGTGATGATGTTCTTGTATGCTAGTTTAAAATGGAAATATCATAAAAAAAGGCAAACCTTCATGAGATTCTCAACAATCAGCCTGCTGTTAAAAGCAATAAGTACAATAATACACAGATTGATGAGACCTGCATGGCTCTGTCATAAAAGGAAAATAATGGTTAAGATTTTGAAAGGCCATCCAGTAACACAAGGAACATTCTTGTTCCAAAATCTATACATTTTAGATTATTCTATCAAAAAAAAATTCTTTCTTCTTATGTGGTGGCCTCTAGCTCAACTACTTTTTTTCTGAAAGAGAAGATTTGTGACAAAACTTGTGCATTCACTGAAACACCAATCCAGCCATTACAATGACTTAATAACAGTAAATGTCCAATTTCAGAACAACAAAATCTCCTATGTATATGTATATGTATATGTATATGTATATGTATATGTATATGTATATGTATATGTATATGTATATGTATATGTATATGTATATGTATATGTATATGTATATGTATATGTATATGTATATGTATATGTATATGTATATGTATATGTATATGAATTAATTCACAGCCTTAAGTAGCCACTCAAGCACAAAATCTCCTATTGAAAGCATCTGACATAAACTGCTTGGAGTAAATTTGTGGGCTATATACTTATTTTTAGGCAAAACAGAATACAATGGTTTGGAGCCTTGGAGGTGTGACCTCAAGCTCTAATATTTCTTTCTTTCTTTTAGCCACTTTATACTACTCAGTAGATGGAAAAGAAAGAAGAAAACAGAACAGCCAAAGCATAGTTCTTTTCCATACCACTGTAGTAGGCTTGTGGGGTTAGCTACAGTAAAAGAGTCCAAATCTCAACAAAATATCCCTAGTCTCTCAAGTCTCAATTAATTCACCCTTTAATTTTACAAAATTCAAAAAAAAAAAAAAAAAAAAAAAACTGGAGAGCACTCCATTTGTTTGAAGAAAATGAAATAGTGGCTCATATATTCATTTTTCTTAAAAAAGAACTGAGAAAGATATACTGTAAAATTTAATCTGTTGAACAGTCGTCCCTGAAATTCAAAAGGTGAGGTTGAACAGTACTACACACACGCACAAACACACACCTGCTGGAAAATGGCATCGGAGCTGAGAGGGCTCTCCTTCACTTCAGAGTGAACAAGTGAAGAAGCCCTGAAGACAGACTTAAACGACGCCGGATCGTCTGCTCCTGGGCTTCCGCCGTCACGACCATCCCGCGTCTCCTCGCTCCCGACCCCGCCTCCGCTCTCCTTCTCCGGCTCCCCCTTCCGCTCCAGTCCACCCTCATCCTCCACGCATTCCTCGATCTCACTGACGCTCACCGGCTTTTCATCAGAGCTCGCCATAGCCTCCGATTCTCAATTCGCTGCAAAACAAACAGAGGAGATCAGATCACACAAAACACCTGAGAATTCAAATCGAAAGAAGAAATCAAAAGAAGAAGGAGACGGGTTATCATCGCCGACGGATTTACATTCCGCCGATTTCGCACCCACCGTTTTCCTGCTCGGGATAATCTTCTCTCGTTCGAAGGACGCTCCATTACTATAAATAGGTGGAAATCGGTCGATGAAGCTTAGCGGCTTACGCACTCACGCCGAGCACGGTGGAGAAAATGACAAACCGTTCTTCAGAGAGCGAAAAAATTGAAACTTTGGAAAATTCTCGCCGTGCAACAATCGGGCGCCACCTGCAGTGGAGTGACATAATACAGAGAGAGTATTTCCCCTTCTTCTTTAAAAGTTTAAGCACCCATTTTCATAGCTACTCTTTAATTTGAGGTAAAACACAAAGCGTGCAAATTACGGGCGGATTACGTGCAAATGTTAAATACATAAATATATAATTAAAAATACTCCGTATAAATTTATGCACTCTAATGATGCTGCGATTAAAATTGCTGATGAAGTTGATCAAGATCATCAATACCAAAATCAACTTCTGAAAGCTAATTAATTAATTAGTTAATTAATTAAATTAATTAATTAAGCTGCCTCATTTTTCGTTTATTAAATTTCGGCATTTCTTCTTTTCTTTTTTTATATTTTTAAACTAAGTCCAAAATTGTTTTACTGGCTTGGGCAAACACGTTTTCTTCGTTCGTTCCAATTAATTTTTATTAATTAATTTTTATATAATTAAAGACCGTAAAATGGAAATGGTTTGGACGTTCACACCCGATCTAAGGTAGGGTTTCTTTTAGTACACAGTATTTTATACTCGTATTTCTTGCCACCTATTACAAATTTTTTGTTTGACTTTTAAGTCAACATTTTCAATATTTTGTTACTAATATGGAGTACTACATATTTTTTTTAATCTAAAACATGATTTATAATTGAAATAAAATAAAGAATATATATGCATAATCTGATTATGTAAATAAAATCAGGGTTTGGGAAAGGTCACATTTTTTTTAGATCTGATCTCCACTCTTTTTTTGCTCTTTACGGTGGGTATTTAAAAAAAATATAATGGTTGATTTTCATAGCTACTATTTAATTTGAGGTAAAACACAAAACGTGCAAAATACGAGCAGATTATGTGCAAATGTGAAACATATAAAAATGTATAATTAAAAAAAGGTGATCTTGAGTATTACTTGTAAAATGTAAGGCTCAGAGGTGTGTGCAAGGATGAGGCACCCTCAGGGTCGACATAAAAATATTTAAAAATAAGATTGACTCTGTACAAAATTCACATGCTAGGCTCTAAATTTGTTTTATCCATAGTGATTGTTCTTTAAAATTAGTATTAAAATTGATTTTTTTGTCCATAGTGCTTGTTCTTTAAAATTAGTGTTAAAATTGATTTTTATGACCACATTTTTAACACTCTGATTATTAAAATACTCCGTATAAATTTATGCACTCAAAAATATAATTTTAAAATGTCACGTAATTAAAATAACGGAGTAATGAACTTCTAAGATTATTCTTAAAATCTTGACATATATGACTTAAAGATTATTCTTAAAATTTTTAAAGTTGAAGGAGTAATTGTGTATAACACAATAACAACCATTCACAATTGGGATGCAAATACTTGGAAGTGAACGACAAAAAGAGAGAAATAAAACACATATGCACAAAGCACATTAGGAGCTGAGTAAAGTTCTGTACTGTATTTGTAACGGTTTGTTCAACTTGGAGTTTCGAGAAAACAAACTTTGTTTTAATCACGATTAATTAAAGTCTCTTTTCCTAAAAATTTCAAATCAATTTTCATCTTTCAAAAATACAACACTGATTGGTCTTGTTTTAGGTGCTGTCCTTTTAAGCATTAAATTTAACTATGTTTTTTAAATGTGTTCTTGTCAACATTTTAAAATTTTAACCAAAATAATTGTATACTTCATTTTTTAATTAAGTATTCAATACTTTTAAATGTGCATACAGTAATAAATTTTATAATGTACATGTTCTAGCCTCTAGGCATATGAAAAAAATAAGCGTTCATACCTCAATTTAATATACAAAGAAAAAATTGTGTAAAACTCATATTGTTTATATTTTTCAAATGTTCATATGTTGGATGTATATTAAAAGCTACCTCTATTGTATAAAGAGTATCTATTTGATTTTTATAAAATAAAGAAATTAGAAAAGTAAAAAATTATTCGCGTACGAAAATACTGAAAGTTTTTAAGTGAATCAATTGACCCTCTTATTAATCTTCTTTTTCTCATTTTTTTAGAACAAATAAAGTTTTACCTTATTATTAGTTTTATTTTTATAATATGGTGTGATACACTTTTAATCTAAATATGGTTGGATCAAGAATTTATTTGGGGATTTTTTTTCGAAATAAAAATAGTTAGTGTTTTTGGCTAATCGAAATCATTTTTATAATTAAATTAAAAAAATATAAATCATGTTAAATCTGTAATTTTTATGCAAAATTAACATTATTAGTCTCAGATCATTTTTGTAATCTATTTTATATTTCTTTTTTTAATAATAAATATATTTTAAAATTTTGTTTCAAATCTTATTATGTGTAAATTACACTTTTTTTATGTTTAAATTTGGCATGGGCGTAAACTTCCATGCCAAAATGAAATATTTTAAAACGTTATCGATACGAGCTAAATATCGTACGATACCGTACCATGCTCGCCTCGAGTTGTAATGATAAATTCAAAAAACAGCTTTGATAAGGTCACATCCAAATTAATTAATGAAGCCCACAAATCTTGTTAGTCAAGTTCTTATAACAATAAACTTACCAACCAAGTTTAACAAAATATTTACATTTAATTGAAATAAACAAAACAAAATGAAGTTCTTACGTTTAAACTTTAAACTACATTAAAAAAAATGGTTGTTGTGCTTTGGAAACATAAGACCAAAGAGTTTACTTTTCTTACGCTTACATCTTGGCTTGTTCAAAATAGAAAAAAAGTTTAGATTTTTTTATAATTATTCATGGGTCCTGCTTGTAATTTCCTTTATTTATTACTTTAAGTAATACATACTCCATATTATACCAAAAAATAAAATTAATTTTTTATTATAACGTATTGATGAATAAAAAATGAAATATATGAAGTTTATTATATATAGATTTTATATATGAATTTATTTCCATCAGAAGAATCAAATTAGAGAAGTTAATAACAACAATTTAATATAAATATAAACCCAATAGCATTAAAATTAATAAGTAAATCTTTTATTGATTTCAAAAATCAAGAAGAAGAAACAAATAAAATAAAGGCTGTGCATTCAAAGAAAAAAAGAAGCCAAAACCGTATAAAAAATTTAGAGTTTGAGGGCTGAGATCATTTGAACTTAGGGTTTTAGAAAATATGGAGTAACCTTTAAAAAATATTACAGTAATAACTAATTTAGTGTATTTCGAGCATACCATTTTTGTAAAACCTTGAGCACCCTAATTTAATTATGTTCGATAAAATGATATGAACTTTTCAAAAACACGTCTTCCTCCAATTGACCAACTATTTGGCAAGGACTTTAAAAGTTTATGCACATGATCGTTGCACAGTTGGCATGGCCAAAAGGGCTTAAGAGGAAATGAAATACTCAAGTATGGTTCTTAGCAACTACCCAAAATCTGAAATGTCAAATGGAGTAGTTTTTGAACTTGGCTTTAGAAAAAAATTATTTAAAAAATTTTTCTTGAAAGATATTTTATAATATATGTAAAAAATAAAAATAAAAGTCAAGAAAATCCAAAAAGAAAAAAAATTAAATTTTAAATTTTCAAAAAAAAGATATGAGAAAATCAAAATTAAAAATCAATAAAAAGTTATATATTGATAATTTCTTATGAATTATATGAAAATTAAATTTATGCTCCACATATTAACGATTTATTAACTATTACATGAACAAAAATAAAAAAATAAATATCGTATATATATATATATATATATATATATATATATATGTATATGTATATATGTATATATATGTATATGATAGGATATGATATATGATAGGATAGGATAGGATATGATTCGACACTATCTTTCAAAAAGTCTAGGAATTGAATTTTTCATTTTAAAGAATAATAAAAAAGTAAAAAAGGAAAAGAATTAATAATCAAACTTTTTTGGTCACTAGCAATACTTGCATTAAAATAATGAATAAACTTTTTATAAAAAGTAACAAGTATTTAAAATTGAGGAGTATTCTAGGCTAATAGTTTGTGACAACATGTTCTTTATGGATATCCTTCTACGAATGTTTCTACTTCAATAAGTAATTGACACGATCTTTGAAATTTTCTAGGATTTGAATTTTTCACTTTTTAGAATAATAAAAAAGTTAAAAAGAAATTAGAGCGTATATTATAACGCTTTTGGTTGCCAGCAATACTTTCATTAAAATAATGAATAAATTCTATAAAAAGTAACAAGTTTTTCAAATTTAAGATTTTCTATATATAGTACTATTACACGTTAATAGTTTGCGGTGGGTAATGAGTATCCTTTCCAAATATTTGTACTTTAGATAAGTATTTGACACGGTATTTGAAAAATTCTAGGAATTGAACTTTTTATTTTTCAGAATAATAAAAAAGTGAAAATGGAAAAGAATTAGTATTATAACTTTTTTGGTTGCTGGCAATACTTGCATTAAAATAATGAACAAACTCTATAAATTAAAACGAGTATTTAAAAATGAGGATTATATCATAGTTATATAGAAAAATTACCCAAAATAATCCCAACTTTATCCGGTCTTTCAAAAATAATCCCACCTCCACCTTTCACTGTGATGCATAATAATCCCAACTTTACTGAAATTTGCCAGTTTTGGGTCGCCGTTAAGTTTCTAACGGAGGGTTAATGGAAATGCCCGTTTTAGACAACAAAATGAAAGTTGGGATTATTTTTGATGAATTTTTGTTTTTTTTTATTTTTTTAAAATTTTTCATTTAAATTTTTTAAATTACTTTCTACCTCCATCATCATTTCTTTTTCCTTTTTTAAAGATTAGTCTTAGTTTAAAAAATAAAAATAATAGAAATAAAAAATGAAAAAATGAGAAATGTAACTAAAATGATACAAAAATAATAAAATAAATAAGGTAATCAATGGAAACTAACTTGAAATTGGTAAAAGTAAAACAAAATTATACGGGTGGGTTTTAATATTTTACGCATTATACAAAATATTAACATACCACTTCTTATTTTTTAGAAAAAAATATCTACAATAATTCCAACTTTACCGGACGACTTCTTTTAAAAAATAAGTAGTACATTAAGACTCTGTATA